ATCTGAATCTGGTAGGTTTTGTGCAAATCTAACCATTTAACCACTCATGAGTTACAGCTGTATGAGTCAACTAAGCTCCACCCCACCGCAACTGATTGACATGAGGTGGCTATACTGTTTACAAATTTTTGAGGCCCACCATTGAGGTTCAAAGTATTTTGAGGGTTTTGACACCAATTTTGTAGATATGTCAAAAATCCTAAGACTAGTTCACAAAAGTAGGCTTAGCCTATTAAGCAAAAAAAAAAAAACAAAAAAAAAAACGATAATCTGAGTGGGTGGAGATAAATGGTCCAAATTGCAAATTTGTTTGCACTAAACCAAGAAATCAAAGGAAAAAATTATTTTGTCTCTAGCAATTCTTGAGCTATGGTCCCAAACCATCAGGCCAATCAGGCTCATCTCTCTTGCCTTGGACAATGGGAGGAAATAAAACCTACCGACCAAGCTTTACATTTGTCTGACCTATGACATGGTCTGCACAACATATTTTAATGAAGAAGAAGAAGAAGAAGAAGAAGAAGAAGAAGAAGAAGTAGCTTCCAAGCACTTTATGCTTGGCCCCCTAATAAATGGTATACAAATTGACATCCATTGTTAAGTAACAAAAGCAAGCACAAATACATAGTGTTCTAGGACTGGAGGTATGTACCTCTTTCTCTTGGCTGCAGCTGATGTTCAGCATGGCCATAGGACTGTTGGGGGCGCTGTTCCCTGCCGAGGTGACGAGCTGTGATGCGCAAGGCGAGGGCAGGGGTTGCACTGCACCGGCTGACTGGCATTGCGCAATGCTGGGTGGAGAGGGGTGGACTACGCCGGCTGCAGCATGGACGACCTGCTTGGGGGCAAAGGTACTGGACAGGTACTCCTTTACCTGCTGCCTCTGAGACTGGCGGATGTGGTAGTCAGTGGGGTTCTCCAGATGGGTTTGTACCTGCCAGGGAAAAATATGAAATGTCATCAGTGGAGAAGGATCAAATATGAAATGGGGATATAAACAGGAGAATAGGAAAATAGTACAAAGCAGTATTTCAATATTGTCTCAACGAGTCTGTTTCAGAAAAAACTGTACAGTTTTAGTAGGGATATTGGGTTGTACGTGTGAAGGTTTAAACTCGGGTGCTGAAAAGCGCATGGGCACAAGTTCACAAAATGAGATGCCTGGCCAGATTGATCTCACTCTTTCACTTCAAGTCTAACTCTCTTAAGCCGCATAATGTTACATCTGCTTCCAGCACATATGTCTGGAAAGCTGTAGTGATAAAAACAGAATGCTCAATTCATAATGTTGCACTACCAGACCAACACCATTCAATCCTTTTAATGGCTGTGTTTTAGACTTGCATTAATTTAATTTAATTCAACTCAACAATAGACGTGGTCACAAAGCGGCTTTATAGAAATCCGGATATAGACTTAGATCCCAGAGGTGGCGGTGGCGAAAGGAAAATCTCCCTGAGATGACAGCGAAATCTTTACAGCAACCAGACTCTTCTGGTTGACACCAAATAGTGGAATTATAAATCATTACTCTTCTTTTATGCCAACAGATCCTCAAACTATTCTTGCCTTTGCACTAGTTTTGGTCAAGTCTGTTTGGGTCTTGTCCCAAATTCAGCACTACTGGATACATTTCCCTGTTAATCCAGTAAGCATTCGCTTGATAAACAGCACCACAAATTTGCCCATTGTGTCGTAGAAAAGAACCACTTCTCTATGTCTAGATGTAGCTATGCTTACATTCACCTACATCCTTATCCTATAGACACTATATCTCATCTTTGTAATTATGAAAATGAATATCTTCTTTGGGCTGGTATGGAACAATATCCAGACAGTCAGCAGATAGTAGGTTGGTGATGTTTTGCCTCTTTTACTTAGAATCCTACTATCGCCCATAAACAGAAACTTAATAAAAGATAAATAAATATCAGATGCCTGAAATGCTTTTAAAAAAAAAAAAAAAAAAAAGCGGCTCCAGGATTAGTGGGTATAAACAGCCCTACTTCCAGATTTACCCCTTAAGCATTAAATCACTCCTGCACTGGCATACTTTTAATAAACGAAGCTGCATTGCAACCTTTCAGCACTGACAAAGTGAAAATGATGCCACCAAGGGCATTTCCACTGAGCTAATAAGCCCAGCCCAATCCCAGAAAGAGTACTGCGGATAGAGGCAGTTGCCGTGAGGTCCCAGAAGTGAAATTTCAGAAAGGCGGAGCAGCCGGTGGCCACTGGCCATGGTGCTTCCTTCCAGATTTCTCTGCCCAGACATGGCTGGATGAATGGCTCACTAAACTACCCGAGCCCTCTGTGAAACAGAAGCTGCTGTTGCTCCTCGCTGGTGTATGCTGATGACTCACTCCTAATGCTTCCCGTAAGTGGCATGAATCACAACGCTCCCAGCTCCAGTAAACCATCCACAATGACCATTAGGGGTGTAAAAACGATATGGTAATGGTAATAAAAAAAATAAATGAATATAAAAAAATATAAAAATAAAACTGTTAAACTTATCTAACATTTGATCTATTGATCACACATCAGGAGAGAGGACACTGCGTTCTGCATGGACAAATGAAAATGCACGTTTTGGCAGAAATGCGTAGACGGACGTTACGTGAGGAATGAGGAATGTGGAGAGTGTCAAAATAAAGGTACCGCATATCGATATTTTATGTGTGGCATCGATGCATCGTATCGTATCTTTAGAAATTTAATCGATCCATCGATCTATATTGACTTATTGTTACACCCATAATGACCATACAGTCCAGCCTGAGAGGTAGAAAGATACATCTACAATAGTTTATCCTGAAAGTCTTCATCATCTCCAACGTCCTAAAAAAAAAAAAACCTTCGCTCACAATGTCAACTACGGTGCACTGGATTTGCCTAACTTACGCAGTCACTAGCTACAGACCGTACTCATAAAAAAGCCACAGACGCAATCGCTTTTTATCTGTTTAGTAGAAACAAATAACATAACCGATACATCTGATGTAAAATTCCACCCTAACTATGAGACAAAAAAAAAAAAATTCCGCTCTGACCCCAAACAATAGGACTAACCATCTGCCAGGAATAATCGCTAACAACATAGAGGTACCTTAACCATAAACATCTGAGGAATATCCAATGCATATACTCCATCTATAATCTAAAGCTTGTGACCTTGACTGACGTGACATGCTTTTGTAACCACAGATGTCTATGAAAGTCCAGTGTAGAACTGTCCTTATCTATCTGTATGAAATCATCTGAGCGCTTACGTCATCAATCAGTGCAATCTGGGCTCGTGCAGAAAGTTACGAATTTCTTCCACTTCGTTAGCATGTGCTGTTTATGTTTCACCATTGCCACTACTGTCCTTGTAGCTGTACAGTGAGTTGCGTGCATATTTTGCATGTACTTTCAGGTTCTCTTGTAATGACGCTGAAAAGAAAATAGCAAAAAAACAAACAAACAAAAAAAAACATAACACTATCACCGACTGTGAACAGCTACCCCAAGTGTACACAAGCACAGGAGCAGGCACTGGGCTGTCTGTTTTCTGCACGTTGATAAGATCAGGAACTGTCATTTATAGAATTAGCCGTGTCAATCTCACCTCTTATCTGATTCTATGACTTATCTGTCCACTGAGAACACAGCAGGGCACAAAGACTCCTTGTTTTTTCTACGACCTTCTTGATTGCTGCTCCACCACATTCTTCTTTTAAAGATTCCTTGATCTTTTCCTTTTCCTGTCCTCGTTAGCGCTTTAGTCAAGATTTTATGAGTAAAAACTACTGAGAGCTACTGTTCTAGAGTATTTCTTAACCTGTGTGGTAGGAGCCACGGCAGCACGTGAAAAGATTACTCGAGTGCCCAATTCCCACTAATATGGGCTCTTATGCCCTGTTGGAACGTCAGTGGTGGGCCATCGTACTGCAGCTCTTAGTGGAAAGTAGGATTAGGCACTTGTGGAGGAAGTCATACATGCCCATAAAATCATTGTTCAGAAGGAACAGGAGACTTGGAGATTGGAACGAGAGTGCATATCGTATTGAGAATCAGCTTTAAAGCTTACGTATCTCTGCCAAAACTTCACACACACACAGCCCCTTTTATATTACTAAATATACACTCACCGTCCACTTTATGAAGAACACTCGTACAACTGCACATTCATGCAGTTATCTAATCAACCAATCATGTGACAGCAGTCAAGTGGCATGGTTGTTGGTGCCAGATGGGCGGGTTTGAGTATTTCAGAAACTGCTGATCTCCTCAGACCAGCCCTTCTGGTACCAAAATCCATGCCATGATCAAAGTCACAGAGATCACATTTTCCCCCCATTCTGTTTTGATGTGAACATTAACTGAAGCTCTTGACTTGTATCTGCATTATATCTGTATCTGCCACATGATTGGCTGAATGGTGAGTGTACAGTATAGCCACAGAGGCAGTGAAGTAGTAGTAGTTGAAGTGATTTAGGCTAAACACGGTCATCGCCGTTACGGGATTTGAGAGTAATGCTGCAGCAATGCCACACGCATGTCACGCGGCTTACCTTCAGCACTTCGACAGGCACCTGCATCGGCGCTGGGAAGTGCACGGGAGCATTGATGGCAGCTGAGGGAGCAGGAGGTCCAGGTGGCCGCTGTTGCATGTGGTGCAGGTGACGTTGGCGCTCCCGCTGCTCCTCCTGCTGCATCTGTTCACGCATGAGCAGCTGGCGCATGCCTACGCGGGACACCATGGCAGGGGGGCGTGGGGGCCGAGCAGCTGCCGCGCAGTCCAGCCCGAAAGATGGTGTGATAGCTGCAGAGGAAGATGGAGAACAGAGACGAGTGAGGATGTAAAGTGGAATCATTGGTCCACATATTTGATTTGGCGCAGTTGTTTTTTTTTTTTGCCGGATGCCCTTCCGGACGCAACCCTCCCCAATTTTATCCGGGCTTGGGACTGGCACTGAGAGCTCACTGTTGCATGCAACCCCAGTGGCTAGGGTTGGTTCCCTGGCCAGGAATTGAACCCAGGCCTCAGCGGTGTGAGTGCTGTGGTCTAACCACTAGTCCTCCAGGGACCTAAAGAATACATTCTGTATGTAGAATTAAATTTTTTTTTTTAAAAATCAGTTATTACTAATTTTACAAGACGTAGATGCATCTCAGTAGAATCTCCGTCAAACATGAACGGTGTGATGTATTAAGCTGTCTTATCAAACATATCCTCAAGCCTCCTGAAATTCATATACTGTACCATAATGATCATCAACCCTTTTCCTGGAGATCTTATACAGTCCCCAGATACAGTCCCCATCGCATCCAATACACCTGCTTAACCTGATTAGCCGGATCAGCCGTGTTGGAACTGTCGGGAGATCTCCAGGAACAGACCTGGGGATCACTGCTGTAGCACTGCTTCATGTGCCAGGAGCTGATTGCACTCAAATAAGTAAAGCCCAAAGCCAAGCAGCATAACCACCCCTCTGATTGAGGAAGTCATGTGAGGGTCATGTGTCCTACTTGTTTTCATCATGTGAGTGGCATGTCCTTGCGGGACACACCCCCAAACATCCTCATGCTAAATCTATACCCCCTCCTTTTTCATCTGGAGGACTGGGGAGTCCCTACAAGTTTGAGTTCCCCTTTTTTGGTTCACGGTTGCAAGCCGATGCAAATCGCCCATGACTTTGCTCTTTTCTGGCTGCTAAATGCTACAAAAAAGATCTACAAAATCTACAAGAAAGATGTGTGTTTCAGGGGTGGACAAATCATAAGTCCATTAGCTAGCCCACCAGACAAGTGAAAGGTCTAAAGTGCTGCTCAGTACCATGTTTTTGCTGCATGGAAACCTAAATGAGTAAGCTCAAAATGGCAGATAACTGGAAGGTGACTTGTCTAGTGCAGGGTTTGGATTTGGGGTTCGAGAAAACCCCAATTCAATCTTGAACAAAAAGTTTGCGGGAATCAAAATAAGTGAAAGTGAATTTGCTGGATGAATAAAGTTGTAAAAAAAAACAACCACCAAGCCAGCCCTGCCTCTTGTTTCATCCCTAGCTGTTTGGAATGAGCTGGCTCATGTGAATTCTTATGAATTTGGCAGTGTGATGGCATGGCTGGTGCAAGGCCAGCTCCAGGCTCCAGTTGTTAGCATTTACCGCTGACCATGTTTTTTTTTTTTTTTTTTTTTTAAAAAAAAAAAAAAAAAAAAAAAAGGAGAAGGACAGAGGCTGGATATGGAGAAAAGCTTATTGTGGACGAGGTACAATAAGCAAGACAGCTCCTATTGAGATAGCACTGAAGCAGCATTTAGCCCACTGTGTATATTTCAGTGGCCGATTTAGGGACACACACACACACACACACACACACACACACACACACACACACACACACAGCTGGCTTTGTGGTGATGGGTAGTCAGTGGACACTCTCTGGCTTTGTCACCAGGGCTATAGTTTGACTCCTGTCCAGCAGAACCAAGCTCTGGGACCGAGTGGCTCGGGCACAGCGGGCACACAGCTGGCCTGACTCACAGCTGGTGGAACACCTGGGCTTAGTCAGGGAGACAAGAAGGTGGTGTGCAGTTATGCTATCCAATGTATTAATAAGCATCACAAAGTGAGGGATTGACTGCTTTAGTATCATCTGGAATACACAGAGATGGATTATTAACCATGAGCGTTGCTGAATGGACCTCCAGTCTGAATTCTGACAGTACACTCAACTCGCCTTCCAGCTGTTCTTGGTTCATACTGGCATGGTTAGCTTTCGTAGTTTTCAGCATGGCATTACTCTTTCACTCAAAGCTCTCCCACTCCACCCATGTGGAATGCCAAGCTTTTGAATGCACTGACTATGACGTTCAAACGTGCAAACTTGCACAAGTTGCCTATTGTCAGAGCCGGGTTACGATACCACAGTATGTCTACATCAAAGGAGAGGGAGGGAAGAAATCTCATGGCAATGGAATAGAGGGGCCGAGCAGCGGTAGCAAGTACACACACACACACACACACACACACTACACAGTGTTCCTAGAGTGTTAATATGCTATGCTTTTTTTAGCTGCTGACACTTCCATGTTAAGTAGTGCCTTTTAACAAGGCTGGCTTAATGCTTCTAAATCTGGAGTTATAGTTAACTGGATTGTGGGTAATCTGTAGCATTGTTTATCATGCTGATCTCGGAGTATGTTCTTCTTTAGCCACGTCCATGATCTTAAACAAGGTCACTGTGAGCATAAATGGAGAATTTCCAACAAAATGGAGAGAGGAAGAACTACAATTGCAGTTCTACATTGAATTCCTCCAATACAATCCAGTTAGCATTAGCACTGGCTAACCCTGAGACGAAATTCAAGATGAAATCTTTAGCCATAATTACAATAGAACAAGACTCAAGACATTGGATGTGTCCTTGATTTGTTCTATTTTCAGGTTCAACACTTAGCTGTTGTCCACAGGCTCGGGAACAACCTTTAGGGTACACTTGCCTTCCCCACCCATGTCTCCCTGTTTCACCCTCTCCTACTGTGTCTAGCATAGCAGTGAGGCAAGAAGGACCAAAATAGCCTCCCTCACTTTCTGTTCCTCTTTTCAGATACACCCTTTTCCCCTGGGGTAGCTTTAGCCAGAGCCTAAGTGAAATATGGAGCCATGTCTAATGTGTACAATGAACTTTCACTGACAGATGTACGGCTTGGATTTACAAGGCCGAGCAGGTGATCAAGGGGTTGGGGGAAGGGGGGTTTACCTCAGGAATAGTTTCATAGACCTTGGTTGGTAAGTTCTAGTACCTTGTTATGTATGAGCAATTTCACAAATGAGTAAGCCAATTCAGCAGGTTCAAGGACTCTTAAATGACATAGTTATCAGGGGTGGTGCTCACCTCACCTCTAGGACATCTAGGCTAGGCTTGTGTCGCAGGCAATAACATAAGATAATGAAAAATGGTCCTAAAACAAATAAACTATAGGAGAACACAGAGTCTGGTAGAACGAACAATGGAATTGGAAGGGTTGACAAATATGACTTTTGACTATGGCCTTCAAATATGGTGGTGTTGGCACATGCCTGGTCCAGAAATCATCAAGCCGAGTCCTGATTGGGTGGTTCATTCATTTGACTGCTCTTCTGTCTGTGCAACCCCACACTTTTTTCCTTCCTCTTTTATGTCACGCTACACAGAAGCCTACACTGAAGCTGAAAACAAAGTGCAAAAGTGCGCAAACAAGCCAAACTTTGACCTAGAAAGATGTTGAAAGTGCTGGAATTTGACACGGAATTAATATAAACTGAGATCATGGAGAAAGCAGCCTTTAATTTGTGTGTAAAAAAAAAAAAAAAAAAGTCATAATTTAATGAATCAAATTAAACCTTGAGGTTTAGGCGCAAGACTCAGTAGATACCGTCCTTCTAAGAAGCTTACTTCTGCTATTGTAATCGTGAAGATTGTCCTGTGCTCATCCCAAGACTCACAGTATACTTATACTCAACTCAGACTTATACTGAACAGGCTTTCAACACACTTAGCACTGTCTCTGACTTTACAGCACACAGTTATAGAAAAGTAATGATTTATAATCCCTCTATCCGGTGAACCCAGAAGGGTTCCACTTTGAGTCTGGTACATGTCAGGGTTTCTTCATGTCGTATCAGCGAGATTTTCCTTGCCACTGTCGCCTCTGGCTAGCTCATTATTACTGCTCCCATCCTGATTTCTGTAACAATACATTTGTGACAATAAAAGCACTATAGCTGAATTGAACTGCGGTTATGTCAGCTAGCTGGCTGTTGGCTGAGGAAATGCTCCTTGGGTAAGGTACTCTGTGGCGGACTTCTTACTTTATTGTAGCCAGTAAAATTCATATTGAGATTAAAATTATGGTATTTATATCAGGGTTAAAGCATGGCCTGTGTTCAGAGTTATATTTCCTGTAACTGGCTGCAGCAATCGGTAGAATAATTACAGCAATACGACACTAAATACAATTTAATTTCTATTTCTGAACATAAACCACAGGAGTTGTTGAACACTCTGTTATCAGTGTCTCAACAACACTGTCCCACGCTTATCATTTTTTAATGTGTTGCACATTATGTCTCATGATTAAAATTCCCCAAATGATGTAGCCATCATGTGCCGCGAAGTCATACCACCAGAAACGCCCATCCGATTCCCAATGATCACACTACCGGCTTCAGCCTCCCAGAAAGAAAAAAAAAATAAACATCATATTGCATCTGATTCTTATTGACTTCTGCTTTTACACTATGTGAAGCAAGTAAGTCATGTCCTCATACCGCCACATAGAGAAGTGCACTTTTGCAAGCCAGACAGTTTCATTTTTCTATAAAACTCTGATTTAAATCAAACAAGAGCAGACATTTCACCAAAGTTCAGGAACCTCATGGAAAGCAAGTAATCCTTACACAACCAACCGTCAAATAGGCATTTCTCAACATTTTCCATTACAAAAATTAAAAAAAATAAACAAAATCTTTTTTTTTTTTTTAAAAAAAAGGACAGTTATTTAAAGAAATGGTTTTTTAGAGACAATACAACATGTGAAATCTGCACCAGAGGCAAAATGTTATCAGCGCTGGTCAATTTTTGCCTGATAACTTTAACAGTTAACTAAACTAAAATTAACAGCAAATTATTAACCTCGGTTCAAACCACCAAAGTAGCACTTCAGCTTGTGTGCTGTTCAAAATACTATTTGGGGCAACCAAAAAAATTTCCCAAAGTCAACCTGAAGTTTCAGTTCCAGTGCGTTCTCAAAGCACTACTGAAGGAACTTCCAGAAAACAGATATTATCAATATTACAGACTTACGGTGGAGATTTATCGTTACTATCTCGTGTACGCGTAGTTCACATATCAAAATATTGTTATTAATTTTTGAAAAAGTTAGTTTTTTTTTTTTATGACTAGGATTGTTACAGTGTCACCGTTTCACAAAGTCAATCTCACTGTTGACTTTTTCTAAATATCAATTAAAATGCATTTCCTTCTTCATTTAATGCTTTTCTGTTCAAACACTCTGTACTTCATAAACATAAATACTGATATTATA